TAGTTTTGTAAGATATGGAATGATCGATAAAGCAAATTGGGAAATGAAACATTTTTTTATGTAGTAATGTTTGGCGGAGAAAAGCTATTTTTAAGGTTGACAGATGATAGGAACAACAAGAATTAAAACTGTGATGCAAGTACTGAAGAACAAGAGAAAGGTTCGAAAAGGGATGAAATGGTGTAGGAAAAGAGGAGAAAAGGAGTTTATCAACAAGATAGAGTGAATAGAAACAATACAAATAGTGTGTGGCATTACATTACCAACTACTAAAGGGATAATTGATATAATTAAATTTTATAGATATTTTTCTATTTTATTTGAGTTGATTTTGATTGATTTTTGCCACATATACTATTTGATTGTCTTTGGCACCTTTCAAGAATAATTTTGGACTTGAAAGCAAATTAGAATGGATTAGAGCAAGATTTAGGCGAAAAAGGGTTGAAACATAAAGATGTAGGAGACATGGCTGATGCGTCCTAGAAAACACTAGTAAATGCACTAGTCGTATCAGTAATATAGATATGAGAATTCGAATATCATCCCACAAAGACCAAATTTTATGAATAAATTATTATACTGAAAATTGTTATTTGAGAAACAATGATTGAATGAAAGTAAATTAAAATAAAAATATAAAACTAAATAAAATTGTATAAAATTTAATAACTATAATAAATCAAAGATAAATCAATCAGTAAAACAATGTTAGGGTCCACAACCCCTTAAACTTGCCTATATATCAATTTTGATAATGAATTTTGAGTTAAGATTGACGGGTTAATCCTAAAGTCTGGTTAACCTTATTCAAGGATATAACCTTTCATATTTAAATGAAACTCTTATTTAGATACTTCCATAGAAATTCGCATATAATTAACCCAATTATCCAACCTTATTCAGGAACACGAATACATGCCATAAGTCAATTTCATATTATTTATTCGAACACATATGTTATTAAGGAATTCAATCAATAAAATATCCATACAAGCATTAAACTTAATGATTTTGTATAAAACTAACTCATATCATTAATCAAAGTCAATATCCATCATAATTTAGAGTTCATGTTTTCCTTAACAAAAGAAACCTACTGCATAATTAAATCGAGAAAGCAAAAACTGAAACTAAAAAAAAACATCGTAAAATAAAATCAAACTCGAGTTTGATCTCCCCTCCAATGTTGCTTTGAGTCTTCTAGGAAGAAGAAGAAAAAGAAAAACCCTAACTTAAAAAATATCTAAAATAAAAGAGTGCCCCTAGAATATTAATAATATGTCATATACACTAGGGTAAATAATAAAATTTTTTAAATATAAATCCTAAGGGAAATATGAAAGAGAATAAAACATCCTAAACCATTTAGGAAACCTAAAAATTGTACTTTTTCTGCGTGACTATCTACATGACCATGCGCCTACCAATACAGATTTCTATCTTTAAAATGTTATGTAGAGAGACTTCAAGATTGATGTGCATCACCACCTATATGAGCATGCATCTACCAGTGCAGGTTTCTTCCCTTTTCGTGCCTTCATCTTAAACTTTCTAAACATTCACAAAATCACTTAAAATTCATAAAATAAACTAAAGAGAATAAATAAACTAAAATCAAATGAAAAAAACTAATAAAATTACTCAAAACTAACAAAACTGAAAGCAAAAACAATCTTGATTGTATATAAAATACACCATTATCAATGGCCATAACACGACCATGTGTTAAGGAGCTAATGTTTCTATTTTTAAGGAGTGAGACACGACCATGTTCCTAGAAGACACAGTTGTGTGCCTTATACCGAGTTAACATAGGACCATGTACTAAGAAGCCAATGTTTCTATTTTGTTCAGTGAAAGAGACATGACCGTGTGCCTGGGAGATACGACCATGTTTGTCTACAAGCTAGAAATTGATGTGATTTTGAAGAAGACACGGTCGTGTGTCAATTCGACACGACCGTGAGACGTGCCAGATCAGATTTGGACTTTGTCAAAGTATTAGGTCTTGAACTATATAAAGAGGAGATGAGCTCAAAAAGAAAACACAAACGGCTGCAAACATCAAGACCTTCTTCTAGTGGGTTTGTCTTAAATCGTTTTATGCTTTCTTTAGATTTATTCTTGCAATTTTATTTAGGATGAGTAACTAAAATTTTCTATTAGGATCTTTGATAAAACCCTAAAGGTTACTTTGTGATTTCTTTATTTAATCTTTAAAAGTCTTTCTCCCCAATCCTTGTGTTATCTTGTGATTTAATACATAAATAAATTGATCACTTATTTATTGATTTATAATGATTGATTGAATTGAGAGATTGATTATTCATTATAATGTTAAGTTATCACAATAGATTGAATGTGAGTAGAGATACTTAGCATGACCTATGTATCTAATAATTGAATGTTAATACATCGATTCATACTAATCCATATAAATATATGTGTTATTATGAAGTAGATAGGGTAATTGATCTTGAAAGTGAGATTACTATATGATTGAATGAAGTTGGATGAAAGTTCTTGTTATAGATTGAATTAACAAAATTTATAGTTGAACTTAGAATGGATTTTAAGATCTTATCTGTCATAATATTTTAATTGTTAATTAGTTTTAATTCATTGCTTTCTTAGTTAAACATTAGTTTATATTCATTCTCTTAGTTGTTAGCCAAATAATATTAATTAGTTAATATTCTAGTACGTGTTCGAACTAGTGCACATGTTAGGTGAATTCACATCACAACAAATTTTTGGGTGTCATTGGTAGGGACTAATACTAGTAATATTAGAATTAACTTATTTTTATTAATTTGGTAATTTTATTTTGTGTGTTTTGTTTTGTCTAGCTATTTATAATAGATTCTGTAGTGCATGACCATAAGTAGCAAAGAACTATTAATTTTTTATTAAGAAATCGAGAGAACTTACAGTAGATTGAGAGCACACACAAAAAGCAGACGACACCTGTCATATGTCATAAATTCATTGAGAAGAGGAACAACAATAATGAGTAATGAACCAGAAAAGAACAAAGCGCACAATGATGGATTATGTTATTTCATCTCTTACTAGAATTAAACCAAGTGTCACAAGGCTGACTGTAATAGCTAATAACTTTAAGATTAAGTCAACCATCATCT